AAACGAAGCAACAGACAAAGGATTAATCTCAAAAATATACAAGCAACTACTGCAGCTCAACTCCAGAAAAATAAATGACCCAATCAAAAAATGGGCCAAAGAACTAAACAGACATTTCTCCAACGAAGACATACAGATGGCTAACAAACACATGAAAAGATGCTCAACATCACTCATTATCAGAGAAATGCAAATCAAAACCACAATGAGGTACCATTACATGCCAGTCAGGATGGCTGCTATCCAAAAGTCTACAAGCAATAAATGCTGGAGAGGGTGTGGAGAAAAGGGAACCCTCTTACACTGTTGGTGGGAATGCAAATTAGTACAGCCGCTATGGAGAACAGTGTGGAGATTTCTTAAAAAACTGGAAATAGAACTGCCATATGACCGAGCAATCCCACTTCTGGGCATAAACCCTGAGGAAACCAGATCTGAAAGAAACACGTGCACCCCAATGTTCATTGCAGCACTGTTTATAATAGCCAGGACATGGAAGCAACCTAGATGCCCTTCAGCAGACGAATGGATAAGGAAGCTGTGGTACATATACACCATGGAATATTACTCAGCCATTAAAAAGAATTCATTTGAATCAGTTCTAATGAGATGGATGAAACTGGAGCCCATTATACAGAGTTATGTAAGCCAGCAAGATAAAGACCATTACAGTATACTAACACATATATATGGAATTTAGAAAGATGGTAACGATAACCCTATATGCAAAACAGAAAAAGAGACACAGATGTATAGAACAGACTTTTGGACTCTGTGGGAGAAGGCGAGGGTGGGATGTTTCAAGAGAACAGCATCGAAACATGTATATTATCTAGGGTGAAACAGATCACCAGCCCAGGTTGGATGCATGAGACAAGTGCTCGGACCTGGTGCACTGGGAAGACCCAGAGGGATCGGGCGGAGCGGGAGGTGGGAGGGGGGATCGGGATGGGGAATACATGTAAAACCATGGCTGATTCTTGCCAATGTATGACAAAAACCACTACAATATTGTAAAGTAATTAGCCTCCAACTAATAATAAATAAATAAGGAGTAAAAAAAAAAAAAAAAGAAAAGACAGGTATTCAGAAAAGACAGATTCACCAAATCTTAGGAATTTTTCACTAATACCACACAGAAATAACCTTAGAGACCAATGAGTTGAGTAGACAGCCCAAAGAAAAGTTAAGAAAATCTTTCTGTATTACTAAGAATCTTTACAGATGAAGCAAAAATCATCAGGCTTGGCCATTTTGTTTGCCTGGTTTTTTTGTTTGTTTGTTTGTTTGTTTTTACTACACTGGTGTAACAAATAAAAGCCCAGAAGTACTACTCCATGGAATCATGATATTCACAAGAAGAGACAGAGTGGCCCCTCAGTGCAGTGCAAGACACCAAACAAAACTCCACAAGCAGAGGACAGAATCTCAAACAAAATGGGTATCCAACCCCAAAGAGGTCTTCCCAACCTCTGCTACTACCCCCACTGACCTAGGGCAATGTATAAAGGTGGCCCAGAAGCAATACCTAGCCAAGAGTCAGAGGGGAAGGCAAACAGGTGTCAAATAATATGAAATATTTATCAAGGAAAATTCCTTTGCACCATATCAGAACAGATAAAAGTTCTTGACGATTTAAGTATGAGCAAGATAAAAGAGAAATGGCAAGTCAACTATGAAGTCACCACAAACACATGACAAAGTATGCAGATGAGATACAGAACACAATATAAAAGATAACACTGACCAAGTGAAAGAAGAAGGTTGACCTATTAATGGTTGGCATTCTAGAAAAGCATAAGAACATGAATTCAATAAAACAAATTTCAAAAAGAAGATGCCAAAACAAAAGAGCAGATGAAGAAGAAAACTGAAAACTAAAGGATAGACCTGAAACTGATATAATTTTAAAAAGAAAGAAAAGAAAGTTTGAGGAAACATTGAGAATAAATAAACAGACAAATATTTAATAAATGAAGTAGAAAGAACAGGTGATGGGCTTGTAAAACTGGAAGTACTAACATATAGGAAAGGCTTGAGACTGTCACAATGAATGCACAGAAAAAAACCAGGAATTAAAATAATTATTGAATTGATAATAGATGAGGACCAAAGTGCCTATAATAATAACCAAAGTCTTTAAAATAGAAAACCAAAAAAATAAAAAAAATCTAAAATTTCCCTGAAATAAAGGAAGAATCAAATAGTCTTTAGAAAGGCATGCTGTGATTCTAAAAATATTATTACCTAATAATCAATACAAACATCCTGATTAAGTTGTCCTACTTCAAGAATAAAGGAAAATCCTTCTGGTACCCAGGCAGGAAAAAATAAACTACCTTTAAGTGAGGAAAAAAGGAATATGATTGATGCTAGACTTCTTTTCAGACAAATCTGATGTCAGAAAAGTCAGTAACAGTTTTTACAATGTTTAGGATGAAAAATACTTGAGCCAAGAATTTTATTCATAACCACTTTGAATATAAGGATAATAAACAGCCAATCTGGAGCATATTAAAGTTTAGAATAAAGTATTTATAAACCCTTCCTTAAAAGACTATTTGAAAATGAAATTTGGCTACCCAGGAATTTCCCACAATAAAGAACTCGGGTGTAAAAATGCCTGTATGATAAAAAGTTCCAGCGATGATTCTTAATTCTTTAAACTATAAAATTAAGGTTAAACACAGAGAAGCACTTTGGCTATTGTATCCAATGTAACTTTATAAAATTTCGGAAAGTAGAATTCATAAAGAAAAAGCAAAAAAGGAATTTAAATTTATTATTTATTTCATAGCTGAGTCAAATAAAATTGTTTAAGTAAAACACCACATAAAAAATATTGATGAGATTCATGTTTTTCAGTCTCTTTTCTTAAATTTAAAAGGATCCTTGGGGAATTAATATATCTTACTGAGAGAAAATGGGGCTTCTGTGGTGTCTCAGATGGTTAAGGATCTGGCTGCAATGCAAGAGAACCTGGATTCGATCTCTGGGAGAAAACAGTGCCTCAGGTTCACAATTGTCTTCAGTTTCACAACTGATTATTACTCTTAAATTCAAGTAATATTTATACAGAACTGCTGCAAGTACTTTTCAATAGTTATTAAACCATTTCGCCCTCATAACAACCAATATAAAAACAGCCACTACTTCCACATTTTGTAATTCCAGAAACTGAATAATTTGTCCATGGTTGTACAGCTAGGAAGCTTTAAAAGAGTCAAAATTCCAAGACAGGTAACTGGGTGTGGAATCTATGCTCTTCACCTCAATAATATAATGCCTCTCATATAAAACAGAATGTAGAAAATGAACTAATTTTTATCAAATTAATTCTATTGGGCTTCCTTAGTGGCTCAGTGGTAAAGAATCTGCCTGTAATGCAGTAGACACAGGAGACGCAGGTTCAATCCCTGGGTCAGGAAGATCCTCTGAAGAAGGAAATAGTAACCCACTCCAGTATTCTTGCCTGGAGAACTACACGGACAGCAAGCCAGATGGGCTACAGTCCATAGGGCTGCAAAGAGTTGGATACAACTGATGCAACTTAAGCAACTTAGCACGTTGCAAGCATCTATTCAATCATCAACCATCTATCCTTCCAGACGGCAGTTTATATAAGCAAAGAAAAATGTTTGGAATAATGTTTCCCTATTGATAAAGATAGTTTTTTGGGAGTAGGCAGTGTAGAATTTGGCTAATATTTTTTCCTTTATTTTTATTTGTCAATGAATGGAATGTTTATAAGTCTATCTACTTTTTGAATGAGCCTTCAAAAAAGCCTTTAGTATAAACAAAAACCAAATCATGCTATCTAGTCACAACCTGAGCACTGCAATATTAATTATTTAATGCTTGCTGTCAAATAAACCACCACTTTTCTGGCACCTTTTTGGCCTTTTTGCCCACATCGTGTGGCTTGTGGGATCTTAGATCCCCAACCAGGGATCAAACATGTGCCTCCTGCAGTGGAAGCATAGAGTCCTAACCACCAGACTGCTAGGGAACTTCCCACCACGTTTTAATTAGTATTTGACTGTGATCCCTCAGAGAGTCTAGAACAACGCTGGGCAAAAGAAACATTCAATAAACATATGGAGGGATCAACATAAAATACTAGATTATTATAATCTATCTATCTTGCAAGTAACGCATTTCTAGATGCTATAGGGCCTTTCTACCCAAAGGGGACTTCTTAGATTAGCATTATTTGCATGATCTGGGAGCTTGGCAAAGGCAGAATCTCAGGCCTTGCTCCAGCCCTATCTATCAAGAATCTGCATTTTAACAATATTCCCCCATGATTGGAGTGCACATTAAAATTGAAGTACTTCTTTCCAGTGCACTGTTTTGCTAAAAAAGTTAAAGTGTTAGTTGCTAGGTCATGTCTGTGACCCTATGGACTATGACCTGACAGGCTCCTCTGTCCATGGGATTCTCCAGGCAAGAATACTGGAATGGGTAGCCAATCCCTTTTCCAGGGAATCTTCCTGACCCAAGTTTCTCTAAGTGTGGTCCAGTATTTACTTATATCAAAAACACCTGGATTGTCTGTTAAAAATGTAGATTCTCAGGCTCAACCCTATTTCAGGTGTCATTAAGACTCACAACTAAAAGTAGTAAAAAGTACTGGAGACTATAAATGAGCACAGCAAGCAGAAAGCAGTAAAAGAACCCAGAGAGCTGAAATAAACCAAGAAGGAGATAATAAGAAGGAGAGAAAGAAAAGAGGAGTCACAGAAGAAAGCAGAGTAAGGACATCAACAGCAGCACTGTGAAGAAATAAAGTCACTTTACTGAGTGTTTTCCTTCCTTCCTCCCTTTCTGCCTTTCCTTTAGTGACTGAAAACTACTAGTATGACAAAAGTTCTAAAAAAAGACTGGGGTTATCGAATTTACCACTGTAATTGTAACACTTTTGAACATGTAACCATCACATAATTCATGCACTTTATATATGCTCCTGATGTCATATGTGGTTTTACAAGCATACGTACAATTTTAGAGACATTTCCATATCCTTGGCTCGTGCAATTGCTTCATCTCTCTCCTCATTGGCTAACTGCAGTCGAGACATAATAGCTTCATCACGTTCTTTCTGTGCAAGGTACACCTCTTCAACCAGAGCTACCAAAATACATAATTCAAAATTAATTTGAGAATACAGAAGAAAATGCATACTTTTAGCAAAAATAAAAAAATTCTTTTATTCAACTGAATTAGCGTCAATTAATCACTTGAGAGAATATTTTAAAATGTTTTTAATTTTTTTTGTTTTTATATTTTAACATTTAAAACATTTAAAACATTACATTTTACATTTAAAAACAGTTTAAAATGTTTTTCTACTGCAAAAGTGAGATACCATTTCATACCCATAAAATTAAAAATTAAAATATTAAATAATAAAAAATATTGGGCTTGTAAAATAACGGAAACACTCAAATATATTGCAGATAGGCATATATATTTCTACAACCATCTGAAGGGCAATTTGGCAATGCTGAAGCTGTGCCTCGTTTATAACGTGGCTAATCTCCTCTTTGGTATGAAGCACATGAGAAATTGCACATGAGCACAAGGAAAGAAGTATAAAAATGTTTAGGAGGCATGTATAAAAATGTTTATTTCAACATTATAGAGTAACAAAAACTTACAAATAACCTAATGTAGAATAACTGGAGCAGGAATAAATTTCTATACATTAAAAGTGGAATACAATGCAGCATTTAAAATGAATTAACTATAGACAAATGGACAAATGTCAAAAATGAAAATCTGAAAAACACAGGAAGTTGCAAAATAAAGCAAATCTAACCATTGTGGACGGACACAATTAGTAAAAATATTAAAATGAACATGAAAATGACAAACACGAAGTTCAGGACAGTGGTTACCTGAGTAAGATGATGAAAGGAGAGGAAAGAGGCGAGTACATGAGGGGCAGAGCTGTGCTGGTTTAGCACGGCCCATCTCCACTGGCACCATTTATATTGATTACAATACAAATGACTTCATTTAAATTTCTGCAGCACTATCAAAGGAGCTTATATGTTATCTGAAATTGTCATTTCTCAAGCTGAATTTCTACTTGAAATCTTACATAACTTAAAATATCACTGCAATTTTAGAAAGGGGCTCAAATACTCAAATCACTGAAGCACATTTATTTGTAGTGTCAAACCACAAAATAAACTTGGGAAAGACATTTGAAACATTGCTTTAGGTCACAGAATACTGTTTTGTACCAAGATTTGTCATAGATTAATATACTTTTAATCAAGATAGTTACTTTTATATTACTTAAATTATAAGCAGTAAAAGAGAAACCCTGAGAAAAAAATCAACTATATCTTTTCCATAACAGTGTAAAATGGAACATGCAATGGTAAAAGAAAAGGCACAACCATTTCTAAGAAGCTGAGCCTGAGGCAAGATAAATATTCAATAAATTAATTAATTCATCAAATATTTATATAGTTCCTACGGCAGTCATCAATCCAGTTTTAAGTCATATGAATATAGTGGTCCTAGAAGTCCTTATCACCCTGCAGTACACATTCCATTACAAGAAAACAGACAGTAGTGAGAAAAACAGACCAAAAACTAGACAGGTAGGTATGGAGACATATTGCTTTAAAGGAAAACTCATAGAAAAGAGTCATTTGGTACATGTGGATTACAGCAGACTATTTCAGAAAGAGTGGTCAGGAAAGATCTTTTTAAATAAATGACATTTCAGTACATTCAAATAAAGGAAGAGAAACCATATTTATATTTGAAAGTAGATGAAGTTGAAGAAAAACTGCAACTAGGCCCTAGAATATTGGTGAAACAACATCAATATGACTGGAGCACAGTGAGAGGGTGAGAGCTCTTGAGGATCACACTATAAGTCATAGCAGGGAATTCAGATCTGTTACAAAGCATCAGACATGACTAGAGAGTAAAGAGCAAATACGATGGTAGCAATGGAGGTTTATGAGCAAGGAAATGACAGACTCACAAACATGTTTAAAAAGGAATTCTGGCTTCTGGGTGAGAAATTGTTCATAGGTGGGGCAAACATGGAAGCAGATTCCAGTAGGGAGACAAAGGAGTGATCTATGCAAGAATTCACATCGATAACCCACAAGAATAACCCTTTCCCTGAAACTTAAAGCTATCCATAAATAAATAAATATGCCACCCTAGAGAAACGACTTCTAGAAAAATAGGCACAAATTGATCAGATCGGTGTTTTAGAGGAAAACACCCAGAGATTAGCATTCAGAGCGTCTGAAACAGCGATTAGAGAAAAGCTGTTGGATTGTATGTCCCTTAATCCAACATTAGATTTTATAAGAGTCCAGGTGAGAAATAATGAAATCATGAATTAAGGCAAGGGCAACAGAAAAGAGAAAGAAAACTGATTCAATTCATAACAAAAAGTTAAGCACGTATGAAATTTTCGAGGAGAGAAAAATAGGACAGATGACTTCACTAAGGCACACCTCCATCTATCAAAAGATAATCTTTATAAAACTCTGGGGAAAACAGGTTACTCTTCTCCTTCCTGCTGCCACATCGGTTCCAAGGGGGAAGGGGAGTCTTAGTCAAACATTTAAGGAAAATTGGAGTCTAGTTCTAGCCTACCTTCCTGCATCCTCTACCATTATATTCCTTCTAGGTCAGTAGTTCACAAAATATAGGATGTGAAATACATTTTTAATAGTTATGTGTCATTTTAATGTATGTTATAAAAATATAACTAGCACATTAAACCTATACTTTATCCTTTATATGTGAAATCTAAAAAGAAATGATGCAATTTAATTCAATTAAGAATTTCCACCCTTCAAAGATGCTGATAAGAAAAAAAAGAGAGAGAAGCCACAGACTGGAAGAAAATAACCTTAAAGTATGTATCTGATAAAAGACTTGCACCCAGAATGTAATTTTAAAAACTGTCTATTATAAACAGTGCTGCAATGAACATTGGGGTGCACGTGTCTCTTTCAGATCTGGTTTCCTCAGTGTGTATGCCTAGAAGTGGTATTGCTGAGTCATATGGCAGTTCTATTTCCAGCTTTTTAAGGAATCTCCACACTGTTTTCCATAGTGGCTGTACTAGTTTGCATTCCCACCAACAGTGTAAGAGGGTTCCCTTTTCTTCACACCCTCTCCAGCATTTATTGCTTGTAGACTTTTGGATAGCAGGTTGGATGCATGGGACAGGTGCTCGGGCCTGGTGCACTGGGAAGACCCAGAGGGATGGGGCGGAGAGGGAGGTGGGAGGGGGGACCGGGATGGGGAATACATGTGGACCCATGGCTGATTCATTTCGATGTATGACAAGAGCCACTGCAATGTTGTGAAGTAATTAGCCTCCAACTAATAAAAATAAATGAAAAAAAAAAAAAAGACCTACTTAAAAAAAAAAAACTGTCAAAGTTCAATAACAAGGAAAATAAACAATTAAAATTGGGAAAAAACTTGAAGACTTTTTATCAGATATACTGATGGTAATAAGCACAAGAAAAGGTGTTCAACATGTTCAGTCATCAGAGAAATGTAAATTAAAACTATGAGATAGCCATCATAGACAGTTGACCCTTGAACAATATTGGAGTCAGAGGTACCCTCTCTCTAACGACTTAAGACAAAAATCTGCGTATAACTTTACAGTTGGTCTTCTGTATCCACGCAGAACCACAGATCATGCAGTACAGTTACTGCACTGTGTATTTATTGGAAAAAAATTACATGTACAGGTGGTCTGTGGAGTTTAAATCGGTTTTGTTCAAGGGTAAACTTACAAACTTATTACGATGACTTATAGGAAAGATTGATATAAGATGTTGGCAAGGATGTAAAAAACAAAAAAGTGCCTGGACCACTTATACACTTTCTGTAGAATGTAAGATAGTATAATCACATTTTGTAGTTTCTTAAAAAAGTAAACATACACCCACCATAAGATTCAGCTACTCCACTCAAAAGTATTTATCCAAGAAAAATTAAAGATTATCTCCATGCAAAGACTTAAACACAAATATTCATGGCATCTTTATTTACAATAGTAAAAACACAGAAACACCCCAGATTTCTAGTAACAGATGAATGGATAAGCAAACTATATAACAAATTGTGCTAGAACAATTGGATATCCACATGCATAAAATCGAATGCTTTTAAACAACAGTTTAGATAGAGTTAAGAAATTCTTGCTATAAACCTAGCTTTTGGAAGATCTACTACTTTCCAGTACAATTTTCATATATTTTTAAAGTCTACATCATTACTGTTAAGTGCTTATTTGTGGCCATACTACTCTGCTTGTATGCATCAATTCATCACACTGTTTTAAAAAAACTTTTGCTTATAATGTAGTGCACAATAGTGAGTTTTATTTTCCCCTATTAGTTGTATACAATCTCTAGTTAGTTGTATACAATCCTAGAAAGGATATAAACAGCTTAGAGAAAACAATATGATATATTATGAAGAATATGGGCTTTGATTCAGAGCCAAGGTGTTAGCACCATAAAGTTAGGCAACTTGGTTTTTTTTATATTTTTTAAATCATTTTAGTCACAGTTCAGGTGTATAAAATGAATAGAATACCATCATTTATGGTTATTAGGGAAAATTAAATGAGATGATATATAAAAGCTCTTGGTCATATAAAGTAGATTCTCAACAAACATTATTTCCATGCCACCATTACCATTCCATGCCACCATTACCATGCCATCATCACCTTCAACCCAGTCTCACAGTTTAGCTTCATTTCTAGACACATTAAAAATGTGATTTTGATTAATTTGGACCATTGCTATCTATAGTCACTTCAAAATTTCTTACTTTTTAGACTTTTTCATTGATATGGAAAAAGTACAAACGGGAATTGGGTAAGATTTTATTCAGAACATTCTATATTATACAGTATACTATAAAGACACGTTTGTACAAAATATGACATTCTAAGATATTTTTTAATTTTTACATTATAAAATACTTCTAATTTGTGGATCAGATAAGATGAATAAAATGATGCCAAACAGTGACCTAGGTACCAATTAACATGTATGTGTTACTGCCCTGTAATATTCTGGCATATCAAAAGGTCAAAACAGAATTTGTGT